AGTAAATACAAAGTGTATAAAGTTTAGCATTTTGAAATTTGCCCAATTTTGCTACCTTCTTGTATTCAAGAACTCATATTTTATAGCAGGAAGACAGGAGCCCTTCTAATATTGGCTAAGCATTGAGATCTTTTTCTAATATTCCAGTGCAAATTTAAAGTTTTAGTTGCTACCTCGGGTTCTTTTTGGAAAATTGTTGCATCTCTTGTCAGGTGATTTTAAATTCAGTTGTTAGAGACTCTGAGGTAACTGGTTGTCTTCTTGTTTAATTAGCAAAAGGAAGTTTAATTCGCAAAAGGAAGTTTAATTCATCCATCTAAGAGTACTGCTTTATTTTCAGTAAGAGATTCGTCATTACATTTAAAAGAAGGAATGAAAGGGCAACTAACAGAAGCTTCTTCGGCAACATCCAAAGCATACTGCGTGTACAGAAGAGAGATGGATCCGGAAATAGACATCATGTGCACAGGCTCCGAGGCGGGAAACGCCGACGACAAGTCTGCTGAGGAGGTGACCATGAGTCCTGCCATTGCCATCATGCAGCCGATCCTGAGGTTTCTTCAGTTACTCTGTGAGAATCACAATCGGGAGCTGCAGGTATGTGCTCTGCTCTGTGGGAAAGCTGAGTATCCAGCCTGTGATCCGAGGTCATTAAATTCAAGTAAAATGGACAAGTAGTTTTGGAGGGAGTTTTGGAGAGATAATAAAAACAATAGTGCTCTTCTCAAGTGGGGAGGAACTTTGGTATCTGAGTGAAGAAAAAGAAGAGGAAAATTCCTTTATGCATGAAACAGGCTCCTACCGTGCCATCCTTTGCATCCTCAGCTCAAATCTTTTTGGCCTTGATGGGCTTCATCTCATCCTAGGACTCTGGGATTTGCTGAGTAAGGTCACATTCACCTCATCTGTACCTTTCATGGTTTTATAGACTCTGAGGGCTTTCCTCATTTCCAACTTAGTTTGTATTTCTTGAGTGAGGATACAGAGTATCTTTATATGTATTTATTAGAAACAGAGTTAATATAGAAGAGGATTTTTTCCAACAATGAAGGTAGATAACCTTTATAAAGGAACTTAATTCTGGTCTTACATCTTCTTTGGTACATTTTCCTTTGTCAAATAGATGAACTTAGGGGTTCCTAGGAATTTTGGCCCCCCCCTTTTGGGCATCATTTGTACACACTGCTTACACCACTGTAGCAAAACCACGTGAAAGGTCACATCATTTCCAAGAGCACATATCAGTATTAGAGAGACAGCAGAGTTTGAATCTGTGTTCTCTAGTAAGCATCTGAAGTGCAGGTGTTCTGAACTGGTGAGAGTTGGTAGATTCATAGAAATTGAATTGAATAGTCTCCAAGGAGATGAGACCCTCAGGAATTCATGCATGGTGGAAGCCATGACACTTGGGGGCCACCCCCCCACAACTTGGAGGGGACCACTGCAGAGCTGTGAGCAGGCAAAGGCCAGAGACTAACTTCCAGAGGGAGGACACTGGATATGTGCCTGTGTGCCTGTGTGCCCGACCTGTGTGGTCTGTCCATTTGGGAAGAAGACATACAGTAAGTGGTCACACATTTTACTGATAGGAATGTGGGATCAAACAATTTGGAAAATGCTACTTATAAAATAGTTTTGTTTTAATAAGAATAAATGATAGAATTATTCACAATAACTAATATGTGGAAGCAGCCCAAGTGTCCACTGACAGATGAATGGATACACCAAATGGGGTATATACATAAAAGGGAATATTATTCAGCCTTAAAAAGGAAGGGCATTCTGACATGTGCTGCCACATGTATGAACCTTGGGACAAATACTAAGTGAAAAAGGTCAGTCACAAAAAGACAAATACTATATTCTGCCTGGATGAGATCCGTAGAGTAGTCAAAATCATGAAGACAGATAGTAGAAGGGTAGGTGTCAAGGGCTAGGGGGAGGAGAATGGGAATTGTTGACAGGTATGAGTTTCAGTTTTACCAGGTGACGAGAATTCTAGAAATGGAAGATGGTGATGGTAGCTCAACATTATGAATATATTTAATACCACTGAACTGCATACACTTAAAAATGTTTAAGATGGTCAACTTTATGTGTATTTTGCCACAAGACAACAAATTGGGAAATAAATCACAAACACAAACTAAAAAAGAATAAATGGTAGAACTGAATTCAAATAAATAAATAGGAAATTAAAGTAAGAAAAGTGAGAAATAAATTAAATTTAAAAATGGAAATTTCCCTCTTTGCTTACTTTCACCAGCTCTACTCCCCCAAAGAAATTACTCTTAACAGGTTGTATTTCTTTCTAGAAATTTTTATGCACATATAAGCATATTGATCGATAACATGTAAACCTTTGTAAAAACACACCTGCAGAATATAATGTTTCTCCACTTACATAATAATATAGTAATAAGACATGTTACTAAATGACTTATTGCTAGATTATGTTTGTATCGGTATGGATTGAAGTAACTCATTTTTATAGCTGTGACATATTTCAGTGTTTGGATGTACAATAATTTTATTAAATCAGTCATATTGTGATGGGGATAGTATGGTTTTCAGTTTTGGCTGTTGCAGGCAGTGTGCCATGAACCTCTTTATAGTTGTATGTTAACTGAAAATTTTAATAGGTGCTTCCGCTGCCCTCCGCGATGGTCATGTGATTCACTGTTTGAAGCTGCGCTGATCATAAGGAATCATTCAGTTGAATACTTGATTGCTTCTTCCCCTAATGAACTTCTTTCTAGTTTCCTTTTCCCTTCTCCTTGTCCTGTTACCTCTTGCTCTTGCCCTTTGTGTATAGTTTTAAGATAATGACACTGAGAAACATTTGTTATGAACTATACTGATAAATACAGATGCTTGAAAAAAATGCATCTTTTTTTTTCTTAAACCCAGGAGAAATTTAATAAACGTGAATGCTTCTTTATAAAGAGCAGTTTCGTTCCGCATTGCCATGGGGATCCTTTCAAGTTAGAAAAACACAGAGATAGAACTGAAAACAATTAGCATAGTGATTTTTTTTTTAACCCCTCCGGTATGTTTTCTTTTGCCTTTAGAACTTCTTGAGGAATCAAAACAACAAAACAAATTACAACCTTGTCTGTGAGACCCTCCAGTTTTTGGACTGCATCTGTGGGAGCACGACCGGCGGCCTAGGCCTGCTGGGCCTCTACATCAATGAGAAGAATGTAGTGCTGGTCAACCAGACCCTGGAGAGCTTGACCGAGTACTGCCAGGGCCCGTGCCATGAAAATCAGGTAACCATGAGAAGAGCCCCTCAAATGAATGCAAATCATTCTTTTTTTTTTTTTTTGAGGTATAGTCAGTTTACAATGTTGTGTCAATTTCTGGCGTACAGCACAAGGCTTCAGTCATACGTGAACATGCATATATTCGTTTTCATACTCTTTTTCACCGTGAGTTACTACAAGATAGCAAATATAGTTCCCTGTGCTGTACAGTATAAACTTGGTATTCGGACCAGTCAGCAAAAGGATCGAATTGGTGAAGGAGTCCAGCTTCATGTGCTTTTAAAAGCTCTTTCTTCTTGCTTTGCCAGACAGTTTTACTTTCCTAGCAAAACATACAGAGACTGAATTATAGAGCAGCAAACAATATGCGTATTTAAATTTAATTTCGTCATAAAAGAAAATTTCCCATGAAAACATTCTAGTGAAAAAAAAATCAGACATCAGAAAGAGTAGAATATGTTTCTTCATCGTTGGTTAGTTTTCGTCTTTAGTGAATGTTTCCAGGATTTGTGGTATCAGCTCGCTTTGGCTTCTTTGGTTCCCCTGCAGTGGGTCGTGTGTGTTACCTCCTTTATAGTCGCAGTATACTTATGAAATAGGTAATGTTGTTCCCATTTTGCTGATGAGTAGGTTCTGACTCAGAAATTTGAGTGATATTCCAGAATCTCAGAGTGAATGACTCTGTTAAATTGTAGAGCTATTCTTAAAACTCAGGGCTTGTGGTTGAGTCTACACAGAGTATGCCTTTGTGTTACATTTTCCAGGGCAAAGTTTCCACTCCCTCTTCCAGAGTGTTTGTCTCTGATTCCATTTTCTTGGATATCGCAGACACATAGATGGAGCAGAAGATAGAACACTTGGGTTAGTAAAGGGAGGGGGGCCACCCTGGGGTTTATTAATTGACTGTTCACATCCACTCAAGTGTTTACAGGGCTGCCATCACAAGTATAGATCCACCCTGAAAGAGTTTTCAAACCACCAACATTTCTGGGTATAAATTTTAAAGAAGCCATTGAGACCAAATATCAGTGCCTAAAATAGAAAAGAAATGTGGAAAACAAATTCACTTTTCTACTGCAAATTATATGGCATGTATGTGTAGACATATACACACACAGACATGTACCTACATAGGCATATGGAACAAAAACACAATCACTGATATAAACAATTTGTCATGGGGATACTCTTTCCCCCTCTGTAATATACATGTGTCACAGTAAAAGAATTTGTGGATTTTGCCCTGTATTATATTTCCACTCTCTTAGGGCAGTGATACAGGAAAACCTAACTGTTGATTTAAAGTTAGGGAAAAATATGCAAATACAGAGATTTGGTGGCAGTGTCGGTTAAAAACATGTATATCTATAACACAAAACACATGTTCTCCACTTTTGGTCTTTTAAGAAAATGAGACTGACTTTTGAAAGTAATTTAGTAAATTAGGTAAGCTCTGGAAGTAGAAACTAATAATAAAATAACATGGATTCCACATGCTCTAAAGATACACTTACTATGAACCGTATGCTCTGAAAAAGGTGTGAAAGGAAAGGAAGTTGCTAGCGAATTCCAGAAATGACCTGCAAATTGATTCCTCCTAAGTTTAGCAAATATTTTAATATCAGAAGAAACTCAGAAAATGTAAAAGATGAATGGAAAACACCTTTCCTTGGTGTCAGGGGAGTAAAAATTTCCTTGTTGGAAGGGAAAAATGAAGTGCATTTTGAAAAATAACTATCCTTTCAGAGTTACCTTGATTTTATTCTTTCTCATTTATTTCACTGAGTTTCAGTTTTTCAAACCCCTTGACGCTGGGTGCTACATGGTAAGATGTAGTTCCATAAATTCCAGCCCACAAGTTCCTGATTTTCAAGTTGTATAAAATGAATTAAATTTGGAGTCCTAGCACAGTAGACTCTAACCTTCAAAATACTGACATTTATCTCTCAGGATCTTCTATAAACCTTTCCCAAGTTGGATCTCTCTATAAATCACTTAAGTTTAGGGAATCTGCTGAGCTTTTCCCTCAACCACCATAATTGACAGGATGTCTTCAAAATGTCAGGAGGAACCTATATTCCCTGTCTGCTGCCAGGGACCATCAACAGCATCACTCGTTACTCACATCGCGTTAGGTAGGAGATAAATAAAGATGCTTCATCAGTACCAATAAAATTTACTTACAAACCTATAAATGGGAATATTCTCTTAGCCAGGATAGATCAGATGTTAAAATTCTAAATTAAGTAATTCCTCTAATGAAAGGCATATTAAATGTATTAACTGAAAGAGTATTTTACTTGACCATTGTTTTTGAAATCCTGTAAAAATGGTTCATTTTTAAAGATACCTGTTTCACACAGTCTCTCTGTGTTCTTCATACAAAGCCATTTAATTAATGCTAATCAGTTAATAGTCAGACTCTATGCAAAAGAATAAGTCAAAGTTAAACCTTTGACTTATCCTTGATTTAATCTCAAAGTTAAATCTTTATATTTTAAAGGTCAGAAAGCCAAGGTGATTCTGTTACTTTATGTCATGGCTTCTAGTGTTCTTATGTGGTAAATGCAATGTTATTTTGTAAACATTTTGTTTTCTAGACATGTATTGCTACCCACGAATCTAATGGAATTGATATCATCATTGCTTTGATTCTAAATGACATCAACCCTCTTGGTAAATACCGAATGGACCTGGTGCTCCAGCTAAAGGTAGAGTAAAGCCATTATCTGGGGGGAGTGGGGATCGACATTCTCTCTATAAAACTCTCTTTCAGAGTTGACTCTAAATCTTCAAGTAGGTCTTGTGAAAAAAATAAGGTATTGTCATATTGTCAACTAATGAATTGAACAGAAAGAGATAGTAAAAAGCACAGTAAGCACTCAATTTCTGATAAAATGTCGAATATGATTCAAGATAATGTTAGTTGGGGGCCGTATTACTGCAAGTTTTTTTAAGCACCCACTTTGTTTCACTCCTGTTCTTCTGCTCTTATTTTATATTTTTCGTTATATAGAGAAGCAAAAGGTGCTGAAGATTCCCTACACCATGTATTTTTAATTCATCTTAACTACAGAATTCTATCTAGAAGTCACAGTGAATTACACTATGGCAGTGGAGGGCTGCATTTTTGTTCTATGTCTCTCTTCTTTCTAAAATTTGTTTTCTTTTATCCTAGAATCTTATTTATTTTCCCCACAAATACTCTAAGCCATGCACACACTTCCCGGCACTTCCGTGCATCAGAGGTCAGGACCACAATGGCATTAAAAATTTTTCTTCAACTTTTGTCCAGATAGAAATAGAGAAATGAATATTACACAAGAAACTATATAGATCCCAAATACAAAGGCAAGATATTCAACTTAGATGAATTATTAAAGACCACATATGTTTGGTGTTAAACAGGTTTAAAAATCATAGGTTAAATAAAATGTTTCTGTAAAGCTAGGGCTGTCCAGTATCGCAGAGAGTCTAAAGTTTAACTTTGTATGGAGAAATTTACGGCCAAGAAGCCTAGAAATGATATTTTTGTGATTCTGTTTCTAAATGTAGATTTAGGTGTGTAGTGAAGTACATGTTTGTCCTACTTATGTGGAGATCATGCTAATGGCTCTTAAAAAGCAAAAAAAGAGATAAATTTGTATGATTTCACTGTTTTCGTTTGCAACATGTATTAGCTTTGGGTCCTTCTCTTCGTAGCTTAGAAAGAAGGTGAGCTTTCTGTGGAATGAACTTGTGTCTTTTTCCTCATTAGCTTCATGCTTCAGGTGGTAAAGCCACCCTCGGCCTACAACAGACAGCTTAATTTGAGTTACTAGAAAAATCTTTATTTTATCTTAAATTATCCTTAACCATAATTTATAAAGAAACAGCATATAGAAGCCTTGGCTTTTGGCTTTTTAAATCTTAAACACTAGACCTTTAAGTCTCGTTTTTAACTGATATACGTTAATGAGGGAAAATACTAAAGGGTTCATCAATTTAAAATGAAACACAGGCATACAGATTATGTACAAATTCAGACCTATGTGCAAAAAGCTCAATTATGGGAAGTGACTTAACAGCACAGACATACTCTTGGCTGTTCAAATGAAAACTTTTTTTGGAAAAAGTTCCTTTAAAATGTCACTTGTTGCTAAGCACAATTTATGTATACCTTTTCAAATTATGGCAGTTGGACACATCAGGGTATGTATAAAATACAAAATGAATGGATTTGACTTGAAAGATTTTCTTAAAGTTTTCTTTAAGAAAGAGGTGCATGTACCTTTCTAAATAATCTATGAGGCTTTGCACATAATGGCTAATATGAAAATAATGTTAAAGACAGAATGATATAGTATATTGGCAAATTTTGAAAGGCATGGGTAGGACGCTTTTAATTATAAATTCTCTGGAACATTATAAAGATGCCATATTAAAAATGTTAAGATTTTGTTTTATATCATTGCCCCTAAATTTACTTACTTAATCAGTTATAATATTAAATATATTTAACTTTACTCATTTAATGTATAATTTTATGGATTTTTCATGCATGTGTCTTGCCCCTTTTAATTTATATTCCATAACTGATCTGGAACTAAAAAGTGCTGAGTTTATAACTAGGTAGGTCTTTTTGTGATTGTTGTTGGTTTTTTTTTCCCCCTTCTAAGGACGAGCTTCATTTAGAAAAAATATCTTCTATTAACACACACATTTGATTTCTTAGTGCACACAGGCTCTTGTACTTTCAAATTGATTCAGATTTCGGTACATCGTTTATAAGATTTCTATTCCTCCAACATGGTGTGAAAAAAAAATGGCTAGAAAAAATACCATATTGCCAATAGCATTCTGAGATTGAGTGTGCTTTGAAGCCGTTATACATTGGGCCTGCCGAGTGAGGTTCGTTAGCGAGAACTGTTAGCGTTGCCAGGGTTGTAAGCCTCAATTCTATGCAGTCAATTCAGACTGCTCTGAGGATCTATGCTCCCCACTAATCCTGGAACCTTATTTTTTGCTTATGTTGTCTGTATGGGACGCTAGACTGTTAAAAAGGAACTTTAGGATTAGCACAGATCTGCAAAAATTGAAAATGGAACAGAAAAATAATGCTGCCTTTCCCACAAAATGGTAACATCTCAAGATGGCTCAGTGATGTTGATGGCATCACCATCACCATAGCCATCATCATCATCATTGTCTTTGTTGCTAATACTAGTCATTTAAAAATAGTCAATAGACTGTACTTCTGAAAGAAAAAATTGGTTGGATAGAATTTGGTATTAAAACTATTCAGTAAAGTTAATTAGCACTACGTTAACAAAATCTGTGTTGTGAATGAGTGCATCTCCAAACAGCTGATTCAGTTTAAGTTTAAATCCTATAAGATGTTAATTTGGAGTCACTAAGAAGCATCTTAAAGCCATTTGACTCTCCTTTTTTGTGTGTCCCTGTCAAAGATTGTGTGTGGAGGTAGACATTTTTATTGTAAGTGAGTATTACAAAAACACTATAGAAATATCTCCCAGGTAGTTTTCGTCATCTTGCAGTTGGCCACAATTCTAGGGCAGCACTATTGAGAACACAGTATAAAGAAACTTCACCCCCAATGTGGAGGATGTTGTGCTTTGGGCCCCAAGACTTTCTGTACCTGTGTGGTACCCATTTGGGGTAATAAATTGACTGTATCAGAAACATTTTTGGTATCTCTAGGTAAACATGATTGAGACAATATATTTATAAATCAGATTAGAAAGCGTCAAAGACAATACAAACTATTTTTATTATCTATTAAATAAAAATAGAAAATATTATTTTTCTACAGCCCGGGTGGTAAAAATGTTGCATATATACTACCATATAGGGAAACTAGTAAACTGTGATCAATAAATTTATATTTTGTTGGTCGGGAGGGTATATAGCTCAGTGGTAGAGCGTATGCTTAGCATGCACCAGGCCCTGGGTTCAATCCCCAGGACCTCCATTAAAATAAGTAAGTAAATAAATAAACCTAATTGCCTCCCCCACAAACAAAAATGAGTAAATAAAATGAAATATTAAAAACAAGACCAAAATATTTATATTTTGTTTTTCACTCATGAATTTAGAACTTTGTGCATTAATTCTCACTAATTATTGCTCAAATTTATTTAAAATTCTGATTTGCTAATATGTGTTAATGTTTCATGTTAAAAACAATGGTGCTAAATTGTTTATAAATTACATGCTATTTCTGTGAAATATGTCAGTGACACTGGTTTATCTTACTGTCTTGTTAAAATGTCATCATAGAAATGACTATGCAGGAAATATTGAAGGAAAATATGAATATATTTTAACACATTACATATAAAATCAATTTTGTGTTTAAAACACCTTTTCACCCATATTTAAAATATCCTTTGTAACATATATCTCATGATTCATTATTTTTGTTTTGTGTTGACAATAAAGTAAAACATTGTATTTTAAAGTGTCAGTAAGCCAAAAAAATTTGCAGTTCAAAATTCTGCTCGATTAAAAGAAATAGTCCTGATAATCTCAATTAAAACAAATACAGGGCATCGTTAACCCATGAAATAGACTTTTCATGCACACCCATTCCGTCTGTGTCTCTAGAACAACGCTTCCAAGCTGCTGCTGGCCATCATGGAAAGCAGGCATGACAGCGAGAATGCAGAGAGAATTCTTTTCAACATGAGGCCCAGGGAGCTGGTAAGAAAACTTTTGAAAACTGTGTTTACGATGGGTAACCTGAAAGGGACAGTTTATAGCGTGCACGTCAAGAAGAAAGTCTAGTGACTTTTCCTGTTCTTTCAATACTTCAGGAGGCCCGTATTAGCAAAGGCTTGTGTGATTTGGATCTTTCATTGGTTTTATCTGCTTCAAACACTTTTTAAAGCCAGGTTGTCACACTCTACTAAATTGTCTGCAAGCTGTTTATGTCAGGAGTGGGGAGGTCAGGGGGTGGTTTGCTTTAGTTTGTGTATTGGAATATAGGTGAGGAAAGTGTAATAAAAATATTTGTACCACCTCAAAAATGTCATTGATACCTCTTTCTGAAAATAGGATTCCAGTAAACATCTTCTGTACTTGTTGTTATTAATGAAATGTTGCACAGGGCTCAGCCTAGAGGAAATTGCGTGGAGACCTGATGGGGAATCCACAGAGATCATTAGCGTGTCTTCCTATGGTTGAAGTTATATTTTCTGCCTCTCTTGTGACATGGAAATAAAGAAGAAATATTGCCATGCTTTAAAAGCACTGGGTTTCAAAAGCATTGAAAACATAACTCAGAGCATCTAGGTCAGCACCCCAGTGACTAAGTCCCAGTCTTTTGAGCACCATTGCTGGTGCTATGTGAAGGCACTCTTGCACTCTTTAAGAGTAAGGAATGGAGTCGAAGAAGGCAGATCAAGAGGAAGATCTTGATTTGATTTAACATGTATTTAATGAGAGCATAGTGTCTGCGAGGCAGTAGGCTAAGGGGCATAAGACATTCCTTATCCGCATGGCTGAATGGGGCAGTGAGTTATATATTCATTCAACTACAGCGCTGTGTGGTAGCCCTTTGCAAATACCACTTCCTTTGCCTGTGACCCTTTTATCCTGTCACCTACTTCTTCTTTGCGGCCCACCCTCAACCTCCTGCCTGAGTTTGTGCCCGTGCCCTGGGCTTCCTGAGTGCCTCGCCCTCAGTCCTGCTGCAGGTCGGGCTGTTGTGTTGGCCTCTTGACGTGCTGACTCTCCCGTTGGACAAGAAGTTCCCTGAGGGCAGATACTCTGTTGTATCCACTGTTGGGTCCTCAGGGCAGACGATGGTGTCTGGCACTGTGTGTTCTTGCTATTAATGGGCCCTTAATAAATAATGGATGCTTATCAGGGTTCCAGAGTCTCCTCCCTACTTCATGGGAGCTTTGGCATGGTCAGCATTCAGGTATCAAAGCAAAACTTTCCAAGGAAAACAGGGAAGATTGTAGGAAAATACTTCCGTGTTCATTTAAATAAAGATAATTTCCGAGACCATTTTCATTTAGAATTCTTTTCTACTTGGCAAGTCCTGGGAAGCATTCCAGTTTTTAATCGTACCCCATCAGTGATGCAAATGCATGTTTTCTGTGGCATTCAAGCCCCGCTGTTCCTGTTCGGTTTGTTTGGTAGGTGGATGTGATGAAGAATGCCTACAACCAAGGACTGGAGTGCGATCACGGGGAGGACGAGGGCGGAGATGATGGCGTCTCCCCAAAAGATGTCGGACACAACATCTATATTCTGGCCCATCAGGTGACGTTTTATGTCTTTATATTGTTTTGCTCAACTTGGCAATCACGTCATGTCATTGCTTGCTGTCGTGTATTCAAGTTCTGGTCCCTTCGGTTATTCAGCACTTGACCCCTTGCACTTGACCACAGCACTTGCTCTGGGCCACAGAGAAGCAGCAGCTCCCAGAGGACTTGTTTCTGCCCCTAGGGCTGCTTTAGGGGTGGATCCACAAGAAAAGGATACTTGATGCCAAAACCCGGGCCAGCAGGGTGGAGGCATCTAGTTCCCTCTCAGAGCCTGAGGAAGGGTTAACCCTGGCAGCGAACGGAGGTCTTGAAGGAGAGAGGAAAGAGGCTACTGACCAGACAGAGTGTGTGAAGTAAGGGGTTGCATTCAAGCCAAAACAGGCTTCTGGCCTCTTTAAGGCGTAGGCTGGCGTGTTTCCTGCAGAAGCCATAAAGCGGCGCCTGTAACTGGGTTTTATAGGACTTGCAACAAATATGAGGCTAAGTTTGACATTGTTTTAGAGGAACCATTTCTATTTTAGAGTAGCTTCTAAAAACAAATTTGATAATTGTTTGATCAATTTAATTCCATGGATGTAAAGATCAACTTTAAATTTGCATTCTTTTTTTTTGGCTAGGATTATTTGTTTTTATGTGGGGGAGGTAATCAGGTTTCCTCATTGATTTCCACTTGGAGGAGGTACTGGGGATTGAACCCCTGACCTCTTGGCTGCTGACCGTGCGCTCTACCGCTTGAGCTATATCCTTCCCCTATATTTGCATCTTCTAATGCAGAGTCGTTTAGAAGTTAAAAATTTGAAGTGTATGTAGGCCCATTTGATTTCGTCTGTATCGCTCTCACTTTTTTACAGAATGAACTCTAAGCTTCTTAACTTTCCCAGCCTCTCTTCCTAGTCATTCATTGTCTCCCATTGACAGTCTCCCTTTTCCCAGTTTCCTGTACGTCATTGAACAAACATTAATAGATATTAAATATCTTATCAGGTAATTGAACAAACACTAATAGGTATAAATAAGACTCTGAGTAGATGTATTATTTTTTTTAAAATTTTTCCCGTTTTATTGGGATGTAATGGACAAACAGCAATGTGTGAGTTTAAGGTGTTACAAGTTTCCTCTTTAGACTTTTCTTGCCCTGCCCCGTCCTGTGTATAACTGCTTAATGGGTGTAACCTGGAATTTAATTTTTGCAGAAAATTCAGGGAACGAGTCAAAATTCTAAAAGATATTAATGTAAGTTGCTGCAGTTGTTTTGTGGTGTAGTTGTGCCATTGAGAAGATTTTTAGGTTCCTCATGGTATAGCAGAGCGCACATATAGAACAGAAAAGGGGAAAAGCAAATGGGTTATAGCCAGGAAGATGAGAGAATTTTAGGTATTGAGAAACTGAAAGCTAAGATGAAGGACAAACTGAAGGAAATAGAACACAGAGATTTAGGATGTGAAAAGGGTGTATGTAGTTTTAGAGAGAGAGAAATCCGGTGGCAGGAACTGCGTCCAGCTAGAAAAGGACTGACCAGAGACTGAATGTGAGCGGGAAGAAAAATATCACAAGCTGTAAAATTAATTTATTAAATTAACTTTAATTAATCAAATTAAATTAATTTAATAACTATACAGTCAAATAAAATTTTATAGTAAAAGAGAATTTTTAAATTACAGTAAAAATAAATTTAAAAATTAAAATTTTAAATAAACAGTTAAAAAACAGTAAAATCATATTGTTTCCTAGAACAAATGCAGAGATAGAGTGACACAGCGTGTTCACATGATCAGGAAGTTACTTCAGAAGTTGTTGTGTTGTGGATGGAAAACAGCAAAGAAGAGAAGGGCAGAGTGAGCAGTAATCCGTCTCGGAGGAAGGAAGTCAGGGAACACAGCCACGCTTGTTCTCGTGGTGGGAAGCTGGTCTTGCTCTGTCTGGAAAGGTTATCCTTCTGCACAAGTGAGCAGCGACTTGAACCAGACCTGATCATGTAGTTTTTAAGTGGGAAATGAACAACCAGACCAGCCAAGTCAGCCCTAGAAGCATTAGGGAGGAAGATGTTTGAGCCAGACCATCCCATATCCGTGAAGAAGACGATTGAAAATGCAACCTCATGTTACCAGTATAATATGAATAGCAATAAACATGTCAAAGTAAGAAGAGACTTAGGTCAGCTCAGTTTTAAGCAGATTTAAATAGAAGAGTAGAGAATACAAATTTCTAAAACAGGCTAAGGCAGATACTGAGAAAAATGGAGAATAAAGAGGAATGTAAGAGCTAGCAGTGGACTGAACGAGCGATGTTAAGTATGAAAGAGTCAAAAATGAAGACAGTGTAAAGGTCAAGGATTTTGATGGATTTGAGCTTACGAAAGTGCTTTGAGGTAACAGACTAGATTCAGAGATTATGGTGGAGTTATCCAAGGAGTGGGGATTCAGAAGCAGTCAGAAAGGATCAAGGGGTTAAAAACATCTTACTGGAATGAAGAGATAAAACAATGGATGTGAAAGGGGCTTGAATGGCTATACAGAGCTTTCTGCATTTTGCAGAACCAGGGTGTGGGAAAAGCAGTGGTGAGTGTGCAGAGCTGGGATGGTCCCACAGAGAGGTGTGTAAACAAAGCCAGACTTCAGCAAGAGGAAGAACAGAACATCAGACTGAGTGAGGGGAAGGGGGAGACTGGGACTGACTGGCTGAACACTTAAGGCCTTGTGGTTAAATCGTTAAGAGTGTACGTGTGAAATGAGAGTCCACAGGAGTCCCTATGAGGAACGCAAAGAGAGGGGAGGAATGGCAAAATATATGGAACAGTGGATGGAAGCGACTTAGTTAAGCAACTGTCTGCTCGTTTTCTTACAGTGACACAGAAACTTGTTCCCTTGCCACTTTATAAATGCATTCTCTGTGGGGTGACTCCTCCCACCAATCTTAATGAAAACTTCACTTTTCACTCAGAAGAGAGCCCGCTGAGTTCTTTTTATCTTTCCACAAGTGACTCATTTGGCTTTCTTTCGGGCCAGGATATTGTACTGGTTTCTTAGGAGGCCAAAGATGGTTGCTGAATTCTTCATGAAACTGTTGTCCAGTTTCATGGACACGCCGAGCCCCAGGTACCAGAAACCAGGGCTTCAGAAGCGCTGAGCAGCTGTGCTCCAAGCGTTTGCTTGCATCCAGGCTTCACGTGTTTTCACTGTGGACGTGGAATCATTTGGCTCCTGCCTGCTGATGACCATGCAGATTGGTTTTTGCCTCTGCACAGTTCAGTAATTCCAAAACTGGGGTTCGACTTCCTCCTAGTTTTAGTATAATCATCTTTTGTACAGACAGTTTATTTTGGTGCCCTCAGACTTTCAATTTTTGTTGTTACTCTTTTCATGGTAGTGAGATAGTTCTGCTTTTTCTACCATGACATCCTTTTTGGCCCTTCCTGTGGTTGGTCTTACAAGAAACAAATAATGCTTCTTGTAAGTGTCTTGTCTGATCTACATAGAACTATAAATACTTTAAAAAGGGAACTTCTTAAGTTTTAATACCACAGTGTTGTGCAGAGAATTTCCTTAAAATTCAGCTTTGTGTCCTTTCAGACTTTCTGTCCTCCACATCCTTTTCTCGTGCATCTGCCTCCTCTCTCTGCTCTTGTTTTGGTCTTTTATATTATACTTTCTTCCTGTCCTGACTCCTCTTTATTTCTGTCTTTGTGTAGGACAGTCACTGCCGCTGTCTGCAACATTGTCCAGTACTGTGGATAAATTTAACTTATATTAAGCCAGATTGGTTTTTTGATTCCATGTAGCAATTTCTGTTTTTCTGAGACTTTTTTTATTTTATTTTGTTTCATTTCATTGTCTTCCCCAGCTTTACTGAGATATAATTGACACATAATATTGTGTAAGTTTAAAGGTTACCACACGTTGATTTGATACATTTATATATCAGAGAATGGTTACCTAACTAGCATTAGCTAGCACCCCAATCCAGCCACGTAATTACCATCTTTCTTTTATGGTGAGAACATTTAAGATCTACTCTCTTGGCAACAACATTCCAGTTAATGATACAGTGTCATTAGCTTTAATCACTGGGCTGTACATTAGATCCTCAGAATTTGTTCATCTTATAACTGGAAGTTTATACCCTTTGACTCCCATATCTCCCTATTCCCACCCCTCGCAGCCCCCGCTCTCAAACCCTGGTAACTACCATTCTGCTCTCTGTTTTTCTGAGTTTGTCATTTTTACATTCCACATATAAGTGATATTATGCAGCATTTGTCTATTTCTCTCTGACTTATTTCACTTAGCATGATGCCCTCAATGTTCATCCAGCTTGTTGCAAACAGAAGGAACTCCTTTCTCATGGCTGAATAAGATTCCATTGTATACCCATATCATGTCTTCTTTAGCCATTCATCCATTGACAGTTATGTTGTTTCCGTATCTTGGCTTTTGTGAATAATGCTGCAGTGAACGTATGAGGGAGGCCCTTGATTTCAATACCTACTAGAATTAAGAAGTATATGGAGAACTATTATGTACTTTGTGGGATGGGGAGAAGTATTAGATAGCAAACCTGTGGAGAGTAAAAATTACTCCTGGCACTTAAGGCAAGAAAGAATGGATCACTTTAATTGGGTATATGAAATTATTTTTTAAATATAGGCTTTAAAAATTTTCATCAGCATTTCCCCATGTCGTTAAATAGTCTTTGAAAATGTAATTTTAGTGTCTGCATAATTGTTCATCATTTGAATGTGCCATAATTTATTTAATCACTCTTTATTGTTAGATATTTAGGTTCCTAGTGTTTTTGATATTATGAATTGTGCTATAATTAACATCCTCATACATTAATCTCTGTCTGATACACTGACTATTTCCCTAGGATAAATTCCAAGAAGTTTAATTACTAGGTCTCAGGGTAGTGACTATTTTATGGTTCTTGACGCATATTATAAAATTGTTTTTCACAGTGTGATGGTGGTCATCTTAGTAAAACCTAAAATTAGTACCA